TCTGCCCCCAGCTAGTTCACTTGTTCAAATACCTGCCCCTTACCATCCCTGGCCTTCTTGACACTTGCCTTCTTGACACTTCCCCAGCACTTTCTCTAGGCGTCAATCCTTTCTGGACTCCACCTCCCTTTCACCAGCTCAGCCCCCACAGCCAGCCAGGCCCTATAAAAGCTCCCTTGCAAACACCACCCTTGCTCCTCTCACCGTTCTTTTCTTTTCGGCACCTGCACCTGGCAAGCAAATGCTGCTGGGGAGGGAAAGAAAATCATGTGGGCAGCTTAGCAAGAAATGTAATTACAACCACAGTCCAGGAAGGGGCTTTCATTCCAAACTTGCTGGAAATCTTACTGAAATTCTCCCCTATACCCTCCCTATGCTCACTCTCCACAGAGGCCCTTTCCACGCTGCGCCCAAGGAAGCAGGAGCCATCAAGCGCGAACACCCTCATCGCTCCCCATCAAATCTCAACCTGTCTCCGTGCCGGCTCCTCGTCTCGGGCTACCTGGCCAGCGCTTCCTGCTCTCAGCAAAGGCCAAGCTCTCCAAGCCCCATGCCCAGGAACCTCATACCTGCCATCATCCTCTTGTTCCTGCTGCGTTCATCTGTCTCTACCGGTCTTCAGGATCATACCCACAGCATACATAGTCTCTTTGCTCTTCATCCTAACCACACGCCCCCCACTTTGATTCATCTGGGTACGGCCCTCTGGCTAGTGACACAACTTCTCTGCAGCCCTGATGACCTATACCCATGCTTCCCAAACTTTAACATAGACACAAATTACCTGGGAATCTTGTTATAATGTATATTCTGATTCAGCAGGTGCTGCGTGGAGCCCAGATTCTGTATCACCAACCTACTCCCAGGTGATGCTCCCGGCCCACAGACCCCACGCTGAGGAGCCAGACCTGTGCTTCCTTCCCTCACTATTCATGTATGAAATCTGTTCTAATCTGGCTTCCTCCCCCAGCAGAACTTCACCGAAACTGGTTTTGTCAAGGCCACCCATAAACTCATTGTTGCAAACTCCAATAAAAACTTTTCTCTTTCTCCTCTCCCATCTCCTCCCCCTTTATAAAACAAGCATGTAGCAAGTAAGGTACACTTTGCCTGGGAAAGGCAGGCACCTAGCAGGCAAATTCAAATATGCCTCTCGCCATCCCCCTCCCAGACACTGCCCCCCCTTGCACCGCCCTCTCCCCAGAGCTGGTGACTGCTCAGGCAGCCCTTTCTCAGAGCCCTTTACCTCTTGCAAAAGCCCTGGATCTTTGTGGCTTGGGTAATACCCTCTCCCCCACCTTGCTGCTATCATCCATGGGCATCCTGTTACTTCCCTCATTGACTGACGCCATTTGCTCTGGTTCACAAACTTCCTTTCTATCCCTGCTCCTGTTTTTCTCCCCAGAGACCATTCACAAGCTCGGCCTTTCAAGCCCTTGGTCCCCTCTCCAAAAACTTTCCCCCTCATTCCACCTGACTCTGCTACAGTTGTACCAACCTGGCTTCTGGATGTCAGCACTTCCCAGAGCTCAGTCTGACACCAAACTCACTTCTCTGCTCTCTCTCCCCCAGTGATCACATCTGTCCCAGAGGCTCTCTCTCCAGCTTGCAAACTTACGAAACATAGCCTCGCCCTCCAGACTCCGCTCCCTCTGCCTACCTGCCACCTCTCCCCGCTGGGCTATAAGAATCTCAAACTTTTAACATTCCCAAAATGGAACTCTTGATTCTTCCCTCTCTTGGAATCTGCTCCTTCTCACTAGTCCCCACCTACTAGTTATTACGGTAACTAGTAGTGTCCAAGGCCTTACTAAAGCCCGAAACCTGGAAGTCGCCTACGATTCCCCCTTTTGCCTCTCCCTCAACTCACCACGACCAATTCTATGGAAACCATCTCCCAATACATTTCAGATCTATCCACTTCTTCTCTCTCCTCTGCCACACCTCTGCCCGTGCCACCAGCCCTGAACAGCCACAACTTCCTGACTTCCATTGCCACTTCAGTCCCTCTTCAATCTGTGCTCCAGACAGCACCTACTGGGAATGTTCTAAAAATGCAAAGAAAAGTGTGCTGCAAGCTCTTCCACAGCTGATCATAGATACAACCCAAACCCTCTATTCATCAAGGCCTACAAATGCCCAGCGAGGCCTCTGTCAGGTCCCTGGGTATGCCAAGTGCTTTCCTACCTCAGATCCCTTTCACATGCGCTACTCACTTCTCATGTTGCTTCTAGGAAGACCTGAAGCAAAAAAGCAGCAAGATATAGTCAAGAAACTGAAGAAAGGCCTCTGTACTTGGCCAGAGCAGAGAGAAAGGGGCGAGTGTGGTGTGAGGGGAGACTGGAAAGGTAAGTTGGCCCAGCCCCTGGGAGACCCAGTAGGCCCAGTGGCTTGGAGATTTTAGGCTTTCTATTGTAAAACCATTCAGTGTTTCACGCAAATGGCTGAGATAATTAGACCTGCGCATTGAAACGATCATTCAAACGATCAAACGATCATTCGATCATTTGGCTACAGGATGGAAAGACAGGGCAGTGGGAGATGCAGCAGTCCGGAGACAATGGTGGCCTGAAGGGATGACAGCGGGCATCGGGAGCTGGCTGGACTTCTGAGCTGTTCAGGAGGTTAGAAAATGATAGAACTTATTGAATGAACAGACATAATTTTGGATTTAAAAAAGGGTTACTAGGCAGTAGGAGCAGAGGTACAGTGGCTAAAATCCATCGCTAATAACAGGATCAGATAATTCATAGCAAATGGCCACCACTCTTCCTGTTTTTATGGGCAGGGAGGGGAAGGAGGGGGATCGTGGGAGAGGTAGGATGAAAGAAAAGAAAAACTCTAGCTCATAAATCAGGGCAGAGGATGGGAAAAGTGCCAAAAATAGGAAGCAGGGGAAATGCAAATTGTGCTGACTTTTCCTCTGCAGAATGGTGACTGGAACAACCTCCTACTGGGGCAGGATGAACAAAAGCCATTCTCAGACAATTTTGTTTTTTGAAATTACATGTTACCATGATTTATGAATCTGTTGTTATAAATATAACAAATATCCTTCGAATCAAGCATAATAAAACATTAGAATCACAGCATTTTTTGAGGTGGAAGGAAATTTAGAAGTCCTCTAATCAGGCTTCACATCGCAGTTCTTAAACTCTTTTTTTCAAAGATACACATCAAGATTTCATCTAGAAGTTAAAAGACAAATAAAGCCCTTCAATCCAGGTGGGTAATTAAAATGTAACAGGGCATTAAGAGAAAAATGAAGAATTGCTATGCAAATAAATATTGTCTAAGAATTTAAAATAATTAGAGGAGGGGCAGGGTAGGGCGTAGGTTCTCCGAGATTGATTCAGCTATCTGCCAATGCGTTTTAATTTTAAGAATACATAGATGATTAATGACGATTTTTAAGCTGTTAATCAAGGAGATCATTTTGGCAGTATTTTTTTTTTAACCAGTGTGTTTCAGGGTTAAAAAAAACCTCAGCCTTTCCATTTGGTTTAGGGACCAGCAAGATTTAAATTTCTAATTTCCAAAGCTACTGAATATTTGGCTAATTAATTCTAGCATCTGACAATGAAGAGCCAGAAGAACATAAAGTTTCAAGTATAATATTAAAAGTTTCCAGAATAGTATAAACTCCAGCTGTATTTTAATCTCCTACAGCACATGCTTTAGTACACATATGAAACCAGAATTTTTCTCAATAATGTCTGCTCTAGTCCTTAAAAAACAAACTGCAGGGCCTCCCCGATGGCGCAGCGGTTGAGCGCTGGGTTGCGGGGCTGCCTGCAGCCTCTGTGGCGCCGGTTCGATCCCCGGCTGCTCCCCGGCCACCAGAGGAGGGTCCCACATGGCGCGCAGACCTCTCCTGCCGCCCGCTGCTCCCCTCAGCAGTGTACTTCGGTCCTTCTGCCTGCTCTGCTCCCTGCTCTGGCTCTGGTGAGTTCTCTCACCCTCCCGCGCTTCTGACTGTGCCCAGTGCATGCATAAAACAAAAACAAATGGATAAATAAAAAAAAAAAAAAAAAAAACATGCCTCTATTAAAAAAAAAAAAAAAAAAAACAAACTGCAGTAGATGGCCTCCAAGAACATCAAGGAGAGAAAGTCAAGCACCATACTGGGGAGAGTCCGAGCCCCACTGGGTAAGGAATTGACATCTCTGGCCAAGAGCCACCTCAGTGAGCCATGGGGGGTGGGGGGCAGATTCTCCAGCCCCAGTGGAGCCTGTAGATGACTAAGCCTCAGGAGATACCCTGAGCTGCAAGCAACAAGCCAAGACGCTCTCAGATTCCTGAACTTCAGAAACTGAGAAAACAAATGTCTGTTGTTTTAGGCTGATAAAGTTGGGGTAATTGTTACACAGCAGTAGAAAATTCATTCAAACTTTAATGTCAAAGTTGTCATTGAAGACAAACTTTAGAGGTAGCCAGGCACACAGAACCAAATTACTCCACGGCTTCCTCAACCCATACACTAAGCAAAAGTTACCTAACATGGAATATCTTAATTTGGATCAAACCTAACTTAATATTTGCTATGTCAATTCCCAATCTAGCAGACCTAAATTAGACTATGTGTAAATTGCCCACAAAAAACTGACAAATGTACAAGTTAGCAAATATTAATTAACAACCTTTTTTAAAAACTCAGAAACTCCCAAAAGATTTGTCTATGGCTTTAACAAAAAAAAAATACTATCATAAATGGTTACTTTTTAAAGGAGTGGCAATCTTGACATAATCTTGACTGGCATTCTAGAGTAGCCACATACACTGCACATCTTGGACAGGCTGCCACAATCTCTTCATCTTCCTGTCCACTCTTGCCCATCCAAATGCTCATGCACCCTCCTGTTTTCAGCAAAAGTCTCCAAAGATGCTTCTAATTTCCATAATTCGCTAGTGGGTAAGAATTTAGTAACTGAATGCAAAAGGGGACTGTAGGCCCTAAAGATTAGCTCAACTCTCAGATTTAAAAATTTCCAGAGTCTCACCCAAGCTTCTGCCAAGAATCTTGAAAATGTAAGGTAAGAATTACAGCTTTTCCATTTCTTCCACCTTCCATGAAGACTTCTTCAGATCCCATTTAAGGCTCCAATTCTTGTTTTTTTACCCTGGGTTTAGAGCTCATATTCCCAATAGATATCTAATTAACTTATACCCACATTTTTTTTCCACACAAAATCCTGGGAAAGGTTCTACTCCTTGGACATAGGGAAATCTGGCTTAGATCTCAGATAAGAGTACCCACTGTTTCCAAGGGGAAATGATGTGAATAGAAAAGGAAGGAAAGACTCAGATGTGGTCAGAAGAAAATAGTCCAGCTGACACGACAAAAACCACATAAAAGGGATGTGTGTGTCCCTGGCCTTATTCCCACCCCTACCTCCATCCCACCCCCACGACCACAAAGAGTGCCTCAGACATTCCTTATTTCATTTCATCCTAACAATTAGGATAATGATTATCACCCTCTCACAGCTGTCGACTCTGCAGCTCAGAGGTGAAAAGTCATGCTCAAGATCACACCACTAGCAGTTACAGAACCAGGCTCGGAACCTTTTAATTCCATCCTCCTTTCTCCCCAATATTAACTACTACCTTGCACTGTCACCCTATTTCTGAGAACTTCAATATTCTCATTCTATTGCTCCAAGGTGAAGGAACATTGCCTGAGCATTTGAAGCTTTGGCATTGAAGGATTGTGCTACTCTCTGCTCTGAACACAGATCATCTCCACACCCAACTCTCCCCTGTCCTAATCAGTGTCCACTATGCATTTGCAGACTGTAACAACACGAAATGCGGCTAGGAAACTAGAACAAAGCGGAAAGTTTGCTCTTCTACAAGGGTTGAAATCAAGCCACACGCAACGCCAATAAACAATCAGCCAAGTCTCTTCCAGTGGCAATTCCAAGTTAGCCCACCTGATAACGCAAAGTTTCCTGAATTCACCTGCAAATGAGCCCAGAAAGGTGGCCGCGGCTGGAGAGGCGGTCTGGACGCAGCCACCTGTCACGAGAGCGCAGAGCCGAGCACCGACAACCTTTAATGCCTGCAGGAGGGCGAGAGCGGCGGTCCAGGCGCTCGGCTCCGAGCACGCTGCTCCCGACCGGAGCCCCACGGGGTGGCAGCCCTTATTAGGAAGGGGTGGGGAGGGCGGCCAGCTGCAGCTCTGGGCTCGCCACTTCCTCGGGCACTAACAAGTTTTTGCAACAGTTTCAGGTCCGGCCCCGCCCGCGACCCGGCGACCAGGCGACCCGGGGACCCGGGGACCGAGCCAGCGGACCGTGCCCGGCCGAGGCCCGCGCGGGCAGGAAGTGGAGCCGAGGCCACCCGCGGGAGAGGGAAGGAGCGGCGAGGAGAGGCCGGGGCGCCGCCCCCACTTCCTGACCCCGCGGGCCGGGAGGCCTGGAGCTTCCCCCGGGGACTCCGGGGCCGGGCGGGGCGCTGCCCCCGCGGCGCCTCCTCCGGCCTCGGGGCGCGCCGGGTCGGGGGCCGGTCCAGCCCCGCGCGGAGAGCGAGGGGGAACGAGGCCACCCAGCGCACCCCGCTTCCCGAGCCCGCGCCCCACCCCGTCGCGAGGAGCCCGCGGGGCGCCGGGCACCCTTACCTGGGGCCGTCCGGACCGCCTGGCCGTCCGCGCGGGTCCGCAGCCTTTACGCCCGCCCCGCCCTCGCCTCCTCGCGGGGCCGGACCCCAGCTGTCCCCCGCCGATTTGTCATTGAGCAGCCCGGGCCGGCTTCCCCACCCCCCGAGCGCGCCCCCGGCGTCGTCTAGGCAACCCACGGCTCAGGCGCGCGCCCTCCCGGCCGCTCCCGCCCACTCCCGGAGGCCACGCCCACTGGTACGCTTCAGCCAATCGCAAAACGAGCTTCCGCGCCTCGGCTGACTGGGGAGGAGGCTTGGCCAATGAGAAGCCGCTCCCGTGGGTGGGGGCGGGGTCGGCGCTCCTGCCCCGCCCACCTCCGTTTCCGCCTGGGCCGGCGGCCGGGCTGCACGTGACCGCTGCAGCAGGGACCGCGGTCGGGCCGGGGGGCGGGGGCCGGGGGCGGGGCCGGGGGGCGGGGGCCGGGGGCGGGGGCCGGGGGCGGGGCGGGGCTGGGCGTGGGCACGGCGGTGAATTCAGGCCGCGGCATGGCCGAAGTAGTGGAAAGCAAAAGGGAAGGACAGACCTGATATGTGCAAACCAAGGAAAAGCTCGTTGCTCGGAAGTGTGCTTTGAGCGGTGTGCACGGGTGCAGGGAGCCTCCAGGACACCACCGGGGTCTGCTGCCTGGACACCGCCGGCGCCGGGGCGGGCTTGGGGGGAGATCCCACTAGCCGCGACGGAGCTGCTGACCAGAGCCCAATAATAACGAGCCAGGGCACAGCCTGAGGCAGAATCTGAGCCGAAGCCTTGAGTCAGAAAGCGCAGGGGGCAAGCTCGTGGTCCCTAGGGTTTCTCCCACAAACCTGCCCCAGCAATCACCCCGAAACCTGTAAAATTTTCTATTCAAAAAGGGTTCGTTCTCTGGATTTCCCCCCTTTACTACAGTCGTTTCCTTCCCTGTCCTCCATCTCCTAGGATTTATGGCGGCACTAAACCCTACCCGAACCTCGTGACCTGGCATATTATCGCAATTAATTGTTTAGACGTCCGCCTCTATACTCTCCAGGGAAGGAACTATCTCTTGTTTGATATCCACCGCAGCTAGCGCCGTGTAATTAATTCTTTCCTTGTTAATAATTATACATCAGGATACCTGTGTATTATATGAGAGGCTCCGGGTCTTGATGAGACTGCTATGTAGAAGATCCAGTATAAGAGCCGGACTCTCCACCAACAGCTGTATCAAGTACAGCTTTACCTTAGTCTGAAGTAACAGGCTTAAAAAAAAAAAAAAAAGTAACCAGAATATTCTAGTGTTAGTCTATCTTAAATATGTTTTTACTTTTATCATCCATTTTAAAGTTTCTAATTGCATGCTAATTAGCAGAAATCCTGCTAGATACTCTAAGGGAGAAGGGATAAGAGATTTTCCCAAAAGGAAGCCCTCGGTATTTATAACCTAGAAGGAAATTCAAATCCAAACCTTCTCCTGTGGAGTAACCATTAAATGCACAGGCTGGAGTCAGCAAGCAGGCATTCAAAGGAAGAGTCTCTGGGTCTCAGTTTCCCCTGCTGCACAGTAGGAACATTACCACTGCATTGCTGGTGTAAAGATTTCAATGATATTACATGCAAAGCTCTGAGTATACTGCCAGGAAGGAGGTGATGTGACTGCCACCAGAGGCCAAAGCAGATGTACACTCAAGTGTATTTTAACCAAGTCAGGGTAGCATTTCCTCCCACTGTATCTAGTAGAAAGAAACTGCTGTGGTACTACCCTTTTATCAAAAGCAAGTTTAGACAGGAGAGTCGCCCGAAGCAGGCTGCCCACGTGAAATGAGTAGTTCAGGGAAGGGTTTCAGAGGTACAGACAGACAGACCAGGAGTTTCATGTCTCCCTCTCCCTTCACCCCCTCCAACCCACAGTAGTCACATGAGGGTTTCTCAGCTGCCCTACAGTGTTCACCCACATTCCTTTGTATAGTAATAGAAGTTTATGCAGGGTACCCTGGGCATTTTGAGAAATGCTACACTTGTTCTCCCTCCCTTCTACTCGCCTACACATCCCCACCCCCAGTACTCTGAGGGATTCTGCTGGAACTACACCAGTAACATCATCCATTCAGCAGCTTCTCTTCATGCTGAGCCCTGGGCTGAGTGTAGTAGTTTCCGAGGGGAATGGGGCTGTCTCACAAGAGGACCCCAGGCAGAGGTGTTGTAAGGGTAAGTAAATGATATCAGGCTTTTCTGCCCTCTGGCCATTAGGATAGATGATGGATCCCTGCGGTCCTGAATGCATGCCTGATGGCGGGCACCTGGAGTAGGGTGTGGGCATACGTAAGTGGGCACACCTGGGCTGAGAGACTGGGCTTATAAGGGCGGCGTCACAGGGACCTCAGCAGAGCAGAACAGAAGAGCAAAAGAGAAGGCCGGAGAGCCCAGAAAGAGTGAAGACTTGCTGGGGGCTGGGAGGCCTGCTAGCCTCCTGCCCCCCCCCCAACCCCCCTGCCTGCTGTGTACCCGGTAAAATTCCAATGAAAGCCTGCAAAAGCCAACGAGGGCTCCAGGTGGCTCTCCTTCACCCATCTGCTTGGGTCATAAAGCTCCTGCTCAGTGCCCATCCTGCCGCTGCAGGTGTCCTGCCAGGGAAAGAGCACTGGGAAACCACCAACCTCAGCTGCTTCTCATATTGCTCCTGTCAGGTCTCAGGGGGCCTGCTGGTCAGCTCAGCTGAGCTCCTCCCCAGGAGCTCACTCCCAGCATAACCTGGGTCTGAACAGCAGCTGTAGCAGGCCCCAGCAGGACCCTGTCAGATCCCTCTGTAGGGTAAGTGAAAAAATTATCAGGCTTCCATCCGCCAGCCATTAGCATTAACGATGGATCCCTGCCTGTGGTCCCTCATGCATGCCTGATAGCGGCACCTGGAGTAGGGTGTGGACATGCATAGGTGGGCACACCTGGGCTGAGACTGGGCTGATAAGGGCAGTGTCACGGGGATGCCAGCAGAAAGCAGAGCAAGAGGAGGACAAGAGCAGAAGCAGCAGAGAAGCAGAGACCATTAGAGAATGCCAGAGAGCCCAGAAAGAGTGAAGACTTGCCGGGGGCTGAAAGGGCCCCTCAGCCTGCCCACACTCTCTTTTTCCCGCCTTGTAAAAAGCTCAATAAAAGCCTGGAAAACTGCATGTGTTTATCTTTTTTGATTGCTGAGTAATATTCCATTGTGTATATGGACCACATCTTCTTGATCCAGTCATCTATTTTTGGGCATTTGGGTTGTTTCCAAAGCTTAGCTATTGTAAACAGTGCTGCTATAAACATAGGAGTGCAGGTGCTCTTTGGAATTGATGTTTCTGTGTCCTTTGGGTAAATACCTAGGAGTGGAATTGCTGGATCATATGGAAGCTCTATGTTTAGTAGGTCCAGAAATCTCCACACAGCTCTCCATAGTGGTTGGACCAGTTTGCACTCCCACCAACAGTGCAGGAGAGTTCCTTTTTCTCCACACCCTCGCCAACATTTGTTGTTGCTCGTTTTTTTAATATGTGCCATCCTCAAAAAAGATAAACACATGCAGTTTGCAGCAACATGGATGGAGCTGGAAGGGATCATGCTCAGAGAAATAAGCCAGAAAGAAAAAGAAAAATACCGGATGGTCTCACTCATAGCAGGAATCT